AAAAATATATATATATCCTAAGTAATAAAGATGTAATATGCAAATGGTGTTATGCCGTGAAGTGCATAACGATCTGATCATAGATCAGCAGGGGGTGGGGCAGTGAGCTACAAGTTCGATGAGAAAGAAGCATCGATCAGCTGCCTCCTGCACATTCCCTACTGGGGATGTGCCCGCAACCAATGTACATGCCCTTGACCAGAATTGAACCTGGGACCCTTTAGTCCGCAGGCCGACGCTCTGTCCACTGAGCCAAACTGGTTAGGGCTGGGTGTGATTTTTAGAATTGTGTTCCTTCATTGTGGGTTCTACTCCTTTTAACCCTCCTACAATAACTGTAAATGTAGTTCTTCCGTCTTTTTTCACTGTTCTTGGGAGCCAAGGCTTTTGACGTGCTGCTGTTTCTCTTCATTCTGTCACAGCCTTTCTGTCGGACGAGCTATTTGCTTCGTGGTTTGTGATGATTTGTTGTGCACTTGTGAGCTCACCTTCTGTGGGTCACTTTCTGCAAGTGTCTCATCCCTAGTTGCCGAGTGGCTTTATTGTGGCTTCTGTCCACGGTTTCTCAGTGGCGTAGGACTGCATTTTTGTACCAATTTCCTGACTTTGGGTTTCCTTAACACATCTTGGCCTCTATACCTACATGTGTCTTGGGGTTTCAGTTATCCATGAAATGTTATTGCCTGCTAGAACCTGGAGTGGGTGGCATGCTTCGTGGTCTCCATGGCTCTCGGGGTTTATTCACGGAGGGAGCATTCTAAAGGCCACAGATAAATGCAAGCTTCTCATTTCCAGTTTCTAAACTCATGGAGGCCAAAGGCTGCATTTTGTGTCCCTAAATTGATAATTAAAATGCAAGCTCCCAGGCCTGTGCCCAGGTCAGGTCCCAGCCTCGACCTGCCATGTGGTGCACTTCTCACTCGGAGCTCCCGTTTCCTTCTGTGTCTGGCATGTGTGATTTTCTCCTTCTGTCTGGAAGAGTTGGAAACTTTTTTTGTCATATTATTTTATTGTTGTAATTGTTGTTATATATTCTAGTATTTATTCATGTTGGCATGGGGTGAGGATAGGGCAGATGTTTTCTTCATTCAGTTAAGTATATTGCCCGAAGTTTTGTAAGTGTTTCTTTAGAAATAATTTCTAGAATTTTAATTGTTGTGTGAAAAGATGTGCAGAATTTATTTTTTAATCCTCACCTGAGGATATTTTTCCATTGATTTTTAGAGAAAGTGGAAGAGAGAGGGAAAGACAGAGAGAAATATACGTTGAGAGAAACACATCGATTGATTGCCTCCTGCATGAGCCCCAACCAGGGCCCAGGCTGGGGAGGACCTGCACCCAAGTACGTGCCCTTGACCGGAATCGAACCCGGGACCCTTCGGTCTGCAGGCCAATGCTCTATCCATTGAATCAAACTGGCTAGGGCAAGATGTGCAGAATTTAAATATTGTTAGTTATTATTTAATTACAATTAAATTAATTAAATTATTTTTTTAATCCCCCCAATAGCACGTATGATTGATTGTTCATTTAAAAATATTATAAAAAATTATCCAAAAAATTGTCAGTCTGAAGGCAAGAAATTATACCTGATTGTTTTTTTGTTAAATATATTTTATTGATTTTTTACAGAGAGGAAGGGAGAGAGATAGAGAGTTAGAAACATCGATCAGCTGCCTCCTGCACATCTCCTACCGGGGATGTGCCCGCAACCAAGGTACATGCCCTTGACTGGAATCAAACCTGGGACCCTTCAGTCCGCAGGCCGATGCTCTATCCACTGAGCCAAACAGGTTTCGGCATATACCTGATTGTTTTAATTTGTATTTCCCAAGTTGTTCATAGAGTTGAGTTGGCCATCAGTTGGCCAAGGTTTTTCTTTTGTGATTTGTTTGTTTATATCCTTTGCCTTTTTGTCTATTGTGTTGTTTATCTCTTTATTTTTGTTAAGCAGGAGGAGCGCTTTGATTCTCTGGGGCATTAATTTTATACTACTGTTTCTCCTAGCTTCTTTTTTATTGTTATTAGTTTATTATTATTTTTTTCTTTTTGTATTTTATTTATTTATTTATTTTCTCTTAGCTTCTTGTCTGTTAATTGCCTTTATGCTTTCTTGTGCACTGAAGAACAAGGCAGAAATGTCCATTGTCATCACTTCTGTGCAGTTGTACTTGAGGTCCTACAGTTGTAAGTTACAGAATATTTTTAAATAGCAAAATTTATTGCTTTAACCATTTTTGGATATACAGGTCGGTGTCATTAAGTACATTCACAGTATTGTGCGACCATCACCACCACCCATCTCCAGGACTTTTATCTTCCTAAACTGAAACTCTGTCTTCTGTCTCCACTAAATAAAACTGCTCATCACACCCTG